GTTGTCACAAGGTATCTGAGTTCCAAATGGGTAAGAAAGGACTCCCAGGGTCTCTGGGACTCTTCAACCTGAGGGCTCAGTGACCAGTGTACAAAATAGTACTGGTTTGCAGCAATACAGTTCAGAGTGACCAGCAATACAGTTCATCAGTGGCTAGAGCAATTGGGAGACAAAGGATGTCAACAAGGTTTGAGCACCAGACTCTACCCTTGAAACTGTTGCCTTTTATTCATTAAGATCCTAACACTGTTATCTTTCGAGAAGCATGTTTTGATCAGTCAGCCTTTCTTTACGAGGTAGTGTTTAATTTTTCCCTTAATGTTGTCTTTTAAATAGGTTAATTTTGCAAAATGAAGGTCTGACTGTGACCCAAACTCCCTCTCACAGACATTGCTCCCGTACATGGAGCTGTCGCTCTGTGGGGACAGATTTTAAAAGGTACATAGAACCTCCCCGTACAGTTAGAATGGTTTCTTTCTATCTCACATGGGGGAAGCATCTTTGAGATCTGACGGCTCTCACTAATCTGGATGAGGCCCTAGCCCCCAAATACCTGTTATCTCCCATGGACAGCTGCTGAACCAAGGGTTAATGGAACTTCACTCACAGCTCCTGGGTGATTTATAGTTTGTCTCAGGATGGATAACTGTTGCAACACCATGGAACTGGTCACAGTAGCCCTCCATGAAGATAGCATTGTGTCTATCCTGTATGCCACACCATACAGAAAGAAGATTGCCAGGCTCAAAGGTCTGATGAATTCTACACAAGGCTCACCTGTCATGGAAGGAAACAGGAACTAGACCTATGGCTATGAGAGACTGTGGGAGAGAACGTGGACATTTAGATTTCTTACTATTCTACCGAATGTCACTTTAAATTTCATGAAAACAAAAAAGTTAGGTACATTTTTATAACATTAAATATTAACAGCATCAATTACTTCCCATTTAGATGAGTCAAAATGATTTAAATGAATTTTTTTCTCCAGTTATTGGGACTTTACGCCCATTTTTTATTCCAAATCTATTTAAATTGTCATGAACTGCTATAAATTTGTGAACATTTGTGCAAACAGTAAGTGAATTTTCTCCCAAAATTTCAGATACGCAGGAATTCACACACACACACACACACACACACACACACACACATACACACACACACACACACACACACACACACACACAAATAGTGACATGTAACCTAGGTACAGTGACCTGATACTTGTGGTGTGATTTCAACACGTGTATAGCATGAATAGGAAAATGACAATATCTGATCCATTCTGGTTATAAACTAAGATCAGTCTCAATCATGGGTGGACTGTATAGCCTGATATTGGAAGGAAAAAGTCCTTAAGATATAAAGTCCCTAACGATATTGGCAGTTCTTCTTGTGTTGGAGTATGTGGCAGAGGGGCATGCCAATGCCAGCAGAAACAGGCTGCTAACTTTCTGACTGTAAAGTAAGGCTTCTGTGTATGATTTCGGTGAATTCAGAGACAAGCCAGTGGCCATCTTCACAGAGGTGAGGCAGAGGAACAAAGCCAGGAGGATGCTGCGTGTGGGACTGAGCCCAGCACAGCAGCTGAAAAGCTGCAGAAAAGACCCAAAGAATGCAGGCTGTCTCAGAAGCTGTAAATGAAAGGATTCATGTATGGAGTTTCCAGAAAAGAACCTTCCAGTGTCCCAGTGCATCTCTGTAAGACCATTTGAGGCCATCTGAGGCCTCTGATTTCCATAATACCGAGATAGTAAATCCGTGCTCTTTCTAAATGAGCGTTTGGTGACACAATGCCACGGAAAACAACTCGCAGAGCAAATTTGCTTTGGCATCGATTTGACTGCACCTGTAGGAGAGGCAGCATGGTGAAGGTTGGCAATGGACTGGCTCTGAGGGTGGAAGATGTGTAAGCCCGATCCCCGCTAGCCTGGGAAGTTCACTGAAGCACTGAGCGAACACAGAAGCGGACGGACTGCACCCAATGCTTCAGTTAATTGCTGTCCATGTTTCCGTTAACAAGGGGCTCCTGAAGTGAACAGTAAGATTCTCACTGGCGTCAGCCTGTGCAAAGAAAGCTACTTTAATCATGATTATGCTAGGTCTCAGGAGCCAGTTCAAAGCCTGCCTTGGCTACACAGTAAGATTCTATCTAAAAATATAAAAAAGACAGAACAATAACAAAGTGCAGATATGATGGACCAAATCAAACAAAGTAGGTGCATAAGCACTACTACCTCAAGAACTCACATCAGAAAGACATTAAGCTTCAATATACATCTTTAACAATATTTTGCTTTACCACTACAAGATTCTCATTAAATAAAAATGACTTAATTGAAATGCTTAGATATAAAAAGACATGTCCATATAATCTTTATAATCGTTCTTAAATACTTTGGCACTACCTATAGACTATTGGTCGGGTGCTCTACACATGATGACATAAAGTGCAGCCGATGGACATCTCTGATCAGGTGCATGGAAACAAACCTATGTATGAGTGAGGCCAAGGGAGAAGAAAGGGAGAAAAGGGTTAAGGGTTTTGAAAGACGCTGCCTGGCCTACTTAATGCCATCCCTAAACAAAACACGTGCCCTTGATTCTAACAGATAACTCTGCAGTACGACTGACATAGTGTCAAGATGCTTTCCAGACACGAGCACTACTCAGCCTTAATTGTCAATGTCTCCTTGCAGGGAGCGGCGGTTAATGCAGACTCATGACTGCACAAGGTGCTACGAGGAGGTGAGGACGTGCTTGGCTTGGAATAGGGTGTTCATGTCACTGCTCTAAAGCTCCAGGGACATTGAACAAGAGTGTACAACAAGAACGTAAGAGCAGTAAGATTGGGAGAAGGGCTTCAAAATGGAATCTCCTGCACAAGACACAGCCACCATAATCATGATCTCAAAGACCCTGTGGTGGCTTGAATGAAAATGCCCCCCATAGGCTCACAGGGAGTGACACCGTAAGGAGGTACAGCCTTGTTGGAGTAGGTGTGCCTTGTTGGAGGAAGTGTGTTATTGGGGGGTGGGCTTTGAGGTTTCAGACACTCAAGCTAGGCCCAGTGTCTCTCTGTTCTTGCGGCCTGACAATCCAGATGTAGAACTCTCAGCTCTTCCAGTACCATGTGTGCATGTGCGCCACCATGCTCTCTGCCATGATGATAATGGACCAAACCTCTGAACTGTAAGTCAGCCCCAGTTACATGCCTTCCCTTATAACAGTAGCTGTGGTCATGACATCTCTTCACAATAATAGAGCATTAAGACAGACGCCAAGAATGCATGCACTGGGTTGCACAAGATGGGCCCATCAACAGTCAGGCAGGAATGAAACGGGGGCCTCAGCCCTCAATGCTGAACTAGTTATCAACTGAGAGATTCAGGGAGCAGAGAAACCGTTGTCATTAAACAGGTACACCCTCTCGATCCCACCGGGGTCCAATGCACAGTCCAAAGGCAATGGTCACACAGAGAGCCCGGGTGAAACAAAACGGGTCATGCAAGTAGAACCCAAAGCCACGAATGCAGAAAAGTGACTGGTGGCAACAAAGAGGAGCTGATATGGGAGGGAGATAAAAGGATGGGTAAGGGAGAAGAATCAGAATACAGTATATAAACATTGGGTAGGTGCATGTGATGGCCAAATAACGAATTCAATGAAAAGACTGTCTTTATTACTGAAAAAAAAATGAATAACATGTGTGCTATCATTGTAGCATCTCCGGGAATATGATTTCCTTTAAGAGAAACACAAGTAAGTATATGTGCTCTTTCCCAGCAGGGCATACCACCTTTTTACTCTTCAGAAAAAGAAACAGCTAAGAAAAGGTACCATAATAGTAGGATGGCCAGTTCACCCCATCCCAGCTCGTTCATTAGTAAACAGAAGACACAGTACAAATGCAGGCCTGAAGAACAATTTTTTTTTTCTAAAACCAACTTCAACTTGACTATGGAAGAACAGACACCCAGAACTTAGCGTAATAATTTTTAATTTAGAAACTTTTGGGAATTTCATACATGAGCACGGTATTGAAGATGACTATATGCTTAAACATTAGTAGCTACCTACCAGGAAGTGTGCCCGTCTTTTATTTTTCCATCTCTGTTGGCTTAGTTTGTTTTATTATGTTTTAACTGTGGTAATCTCATTGTGCTCCCCAGGCTGGTCTTGAATTCCTGCTTTCAATGATCTTCTGGGTTTAACCTCCCAACAGCTAGACTTCCTAATCTTCTGTTACTTTACCTTTCAAAACCCTTAAACTGTGGGCATTATCTTAATCATTAACTTCACTTCACAGGTACAGCAACTAACTGAGAGAACAAGACAAGGTGGGATGCAGTTACAGGAGACTTTAGTCCCAGGATTCAGGAGACAGAGCCAGGTGGATCTCTAGGAGTTCAAGGGCAGTCTGGTCTACAGAGTGAGTACCATGACAGCCAGGGCTACGTAATAAGACTCTGCAATTCCAGCAACCTGGGGGCAGAGACAGTGGCTCCTTAGAGCTTGCTATCCAGCCCATGTAGCTGAGCAGAGAGCTCTAGGTTCTATGAGACTCTGTCTCCAAAAATATACATGAGAAGAGACTTCTGCCACCAATACCTATCTTCTACATGTATACACATACAGATGCAGACATACTCCCCCACGAACTATGTGCATGTGCACATACAAAATGAACATTCCATTTCCACTGAAAGTCTAAAAAGAGACAAACCGACTGTCAAGTTGTATAAAATCTGAAGTGCCCTTGAGAGCTGACACACACCTGCTCAGGCCTTGAGAAAATCAGAAACTCCTAAAAATACAAATCACGGCTATGGAAGCACTACTCAGTGTGTCTCCTATTAGAGCACACATCTGGCAAAATGGGATGAACACAGATCCGTTTCTCAGAAAACTGGAAGCAGTGAACACACACGGACGTCTCCAGGGACCCTCCCAGTCCACCAAGAGGATAGCTTGGGAGCTCCACTGAAAGGCCTTACCTCAAAGGCTTTGCTATCCAGAGAATTTGGAAATGATGTCTTCATCTAGATCACACCAACAATAACAAACTGAAATCAAAGATATGAACAATTCAGTTCCAGTCCCAACCACCGCTGCCCCTTCTCACTCTGTCCTTAGACAAATATTGTTCTTTGTATAGACATGTGATAATCAGGTGATAGGCACAGGGGAACTGTCTATAAAAGCTGTAAACATCAAAATCAAGAGAGACAGAAACAAAAGATCAGGGAAGAATAAACATAGAAGGGGAATTGTCCAGGCTAATGTTGAAATATTTCGACAAATAACTTTCTCCATGCACGCATGGGCATACACACAAGATAAAAGGGTGTTTCTTTAAAAGTCCAAGAAGCTGGCTGATGTGTAGACTCAGGAAGGAGTACATGGGTTCACACAAAAAAGAAGGTAACTCAAAGATAGGAACGCAAGCTGAAAAAGCCATGAACTGCTACAGAGATGAAAAGCCACTTTAGGAGTAAAAAAAAAAACCACTTGACTAAAATCACAAAGAAAAGAAGTGCTCATTGGACAAGCACATAAAAGGAACGAAGCAAGGTAAGGGATAAAGCACAGTGCAAAATCAAGGGGAAAGGCTAGACATTCTCACATGGCCAAGGAATGGGGCAGGAGAAAGGGACTTCTTTAAATGAAACTACCTCTTGCCAAACTGACTCTGCTTCAAGAGGTCACAGGGAAGACCAAGGGGAAACAATGCCAAGCCATACATCTAAGAAACGATCTATGAAGCTATGGAATTCCTAGGGAAGGAAGAGTTCTTGGACATACTGGTTGGGAATTTAGGAGAGAAATAAATGAAAAGACAGAAGCGGGGAGGCAAGTTTCTTCTGTGTTCCAGCCTCCACAATCTGTAATGCCTTGTACGCTACTTGACTGCTGAGGGCGACTTCAGTTCTGAGAATGTTTGCTGGGGAGAAGTGACGTCGTACATGGTGAGAAGTGATGTCGTACATGAGTCGCTAACTCATGATACAAAAGGCAACATCAGTCAACACCAGTCAGAAATTGATAGGTTCACATCTTTGTCAGGAATGGCTTTGTTTGCTTGTTTGTTTGTTTTTCTTTCTTTCCTTTCTTTCTATTTTTAGAAGGGTCATTTGTGTCCCAGCCTGGCCTCAAACTTGCTGTGATGCTTTGAATTTCTGATTTTTTTTGTCTCCACTGCCGCAGCTCTGAGAGGACAGGCAAACACCACCATGTCAGTTTTATAGGGTTTCTACCAGGATCAAACGCAGGACTGGGGCATGGAAGACATGTACTCTATTTACTCAGCATTATATCCACACACTGTAAGTTAAACTTTGAAAAAAAATTGCATAGGTCAACTGGTGCTACTTCTAATACTACTTTTTAAAAGCGAGATTTTAAATTCACAAAGGGGCAATTCAAGACCACATGGCTGAATGGTAGAGTCAAGATGTACCATTTTCTGATTCTACATTCACAGACTAGGTGGCAGCCCTGAAGGTGGTTAGCACAGGCTAGCATGAGGGCCCTGGGTCACTCTTATCTCCTGTGACTTCGTGAGCATCTAGAGCTACCAAGTTCAAGATGGAAGAAACTTTGGATTGTACCATCATCCTTTGTCCTGTGTGAAGATCAAGCCTGGGGACATGACAAAGAGGATATTAGCCGCACTGCACACTTCCATCGCGGTGACACAGACTGGGTAGTTTGCACTGAAAGGAGAAAGACTGGCTACTGGCTTCTTGATTCCCACATGCAATATGCCCATGGCACCTAGCACTCATGCTGGATAGTGTAAACAGCTGTTGATCACAGGCAGACAGTTTAACCTGGACTCCGATAAACTGAACTAAGGTATTTCCAAGTCTGTGCTTTAAACATCTGCCGTAAGCCAGCGGCTGAGAAACACCCAGCAAACCTGACGTCCTGGAAAATACAAGCGGCCAGGAGCCACATCCCCAGAAGCTACCACGCTCACTGTAAGAGCTACCATGGAAACACATTGATGAGTAAACACCGAGTTGATAGCCGTATTTGTGAGCCTGACACAAGGGCTGGCTGGTATCTTTTGAAAATCTATTTGACGTTTTCTAGTGATCCACGGTAGGAGGAAAACCTCAAGTGCCATGAAGTTGGATATGGAAAGGAATTTAGTGGGAATGTCTAATTTTTTTTTTTTAACGAGAAGGCAGATGAAAGCCAATCCTGAAAGGATGATTCCTGAACACAACAGACACTGTATAAATCCCAGGCAGGCTACTTGCATTTTAGAGTTGAGGACAAGAGGCCCAGCTTGCTATTCTCTGGTACTTGGCGAGACATTATTGTCACTGGCAAGCTGGGACTATAGATATGTACTAGAGAAGTCACATTCAAATCCCTTTGCAATTTTCCAGACACCAGAAATGCTGCTTCAACAAATGAAACAAATGATAAAAAACCTGGTCCTAATATTCACTTTGTCAATATATTTAAAGTACAAAATAATAGATAAATAAAATTTCAAAGTCTGGGATTTTCTTCCTCAATCAACTGTTCTTAAAGTAGCCACAGCTCTCATGTGATTAAAAATGAGAATCAGTGTGTTCTCTATCCACAGGGAACTATGATTGAAAGTATGGTTGAAAATCATTATTCAAAATACACAGAAAAATACAGCCAAGGATGATATCAAGCCCACGTTTCTCCTGCCTTCCCATCCTGATTGCTGTATTAGTGGAGTCACAACCCTCAGCTTATGGAGTCCTGGAAAAATCTCAGGGCCTTGGGCAGAGTCAGGAGACACTCTAGCAACAGACTTCACTCCCAGACAACCCACCCATAAAAAAAGGAAAAAGAAAAAAACAATAATCCAATACTCATTGCCCCTTCCCCCGGCAAAGTCTTTGGAACTCATGAATAATGAGCAAGAAGGTGTGGTCATTTGGAAAGAATCTCATACAGCATGTCATAGTCAATCATATTTTCATTTCACCCTCCGGCCAAGTAATGACAGGACGTTTGGCTCTGCCATCATCTTCAGTTGTCATCATAAAATTAGATACAAAACATGGACACTGGTAAAAACTATAAACTTACAAAGCTGACTCTTATTCATTCAAATACCAAAAAATAGAAATACATATATATTTTTGTAGAGGTATATGTGTCCATGATATACCCATGTAAGGTGAAGATCCCAAGGTAAATTGACTAGTTTTACCCCAGTAGTTTCAAGGAATAATTTTTAACTTTCCCGTAGAAATAGAATTACAAATGATGTGCTAGACTCAGCCCATCACCAGCTCATAAAATGCAACCGCTAAGTTCTAAGGCATTACACAGTTGGGAACCTACTAAAGCCAACCACAGGGGAAGTTTTTACACTGTGAAAATTGAAAAAAAAAAGACAAGAGAAAGAAAAATTAGGCCCTGCCTCTTCCCACCCTCTACACAAAAAGGACATGGGTACTGTTATCCCCAACGAGCAAATGTGCCCACACCAGCAATAATGAGAATATGAAAAAGAACATCATCAAATCTCCCCATCAATTGTCTGGCTACCAGCTCCAATTCCTTAACCCTTTGATAAAAACTTTGCAGACACAAATAGTAGAAAGGAAAAAAACTGATGGTGAGGGTGGAAGAAGGGCAATTTAAAGAGGGATATCTAATATGGAAAATCATTTATAAGAACCTGCGATGAAGGTCTGGCAGAGAAAGCCACCCCAAGACATAAATTATGTGGACAGAGTAAACACACCAGAAGAAGACGAACAATGAATCGTGTGTCATAGAGCCACATAGTGAGCTCAAGGCACAAACTTCTGTGCAGGCTCGTCTTATTTCTTTAGTCTCTAGGAGACGAAGATGATCTAATATACTCTAATTTTTCTTGTTACCTAGCAGGAAGTACCAGAAAAGTTTGTGTAGCTACCACAAACAAAATGAGACACACACTGGAGTAACAATGAAACTCACAGATTTTGACCTTCCTCCTACATGTGTATTTAGGAAATGAAATACACTCATGGGAGAAAGACAACGGTATCTGACCATGGTCATGCATTCTGTTAACAGTATACTTATAGGGACGTTTGCACATTAAGTAAAATCTCCTTTTGAAAAAAAATTTCAAAGATCTGTCATTTTCAACTGTTTTTCATTTTGATATTCATCTAAAATTTGATTCTTACAATACAAGCTTGATGGCTGGAGATTCAATTCAGGTTTTATGTAGCTGACTTAGCCTGCATGAAATGTGGAGCTCAAACCCTAGCATCATGTGAACTAAATACACTAACACCCTCCTGCAACCTCAGCACCAGGGTGATGGAAGAGCATCTCAGGGTCATGCTCAGTGCACAGGGAGTATGAAGCCAAAATGTGCAGCACTGTCAAAAAAAATTACGTCTGGAAAATATTGCTAGTGCGTTTGCACCAGAGAAAATAGTGTGTATATCTATCAGTTTCTTTCTGTTTAAAGGGACGGAAAAAACTACACTCTCCATATAGTGACTGGATGTGCTGATTGGCATCTATCTCATTCAGGCAAAGTGATGCTCTAGCGACTGCCCGGAGCACTACTCAACAGAATGGTAATGCAGAATCCAGTGCAGTCACATCGAGCAACCGACCTTTACAAATTTCCTCTTCATATGGATATTCATTCACCCATCTGTTTCTAGAGTCACATTGATCCTGCGAGGGAAACATACCAGAAGCTATTGCGGGAGTAAGTTCTATGTGCTAATATTCTTCATTGGAAAACGAGGTGGGAGGAAGCGGGATTTACCTGAGGGAATAACGTCCTAGCTGAAGAGGAGGAGGGAAGTAAGAAGGGATGCAGCGGGCAGTAGCAGGCAATCAGAGAAGAAACTGGCAAACACTTCATAGAGCTGACTCTATGAAGAACTCACAGGTACCTAAGCAAGAGCCTCAGGCTCATCATTTACAGTAAGGGAGGCATTTTAAAGAAATGCTATTTTACTGCGGCAATGACCACTTCCTCTTTAATAAGTGACAAGAATATACAGAACAATTAATATGGCTAAATTGGAGTATTTACAGGTTAGTCGATAAC